ACTGCAATGTTTTACCAATGACTGGAAATGAATAAATATTATTATTAAAATATTGCTATCATTATACATCCCTCTTTTTGTTCAGTCAGTGACAGGTAGACAGCCCTGTGGTCGGTCGGTAGCCGGTCGGTTCAACGTGGGTGCTTTTCACATATAGTCAGTGGATGCTCTGTTCACTCACCCAATCGACCGCCGTGTTAGTCGGTGGTTCAAACCGCAGGCTGAACGATCGATTTTCACTTGCTATCGTCCAACCAGTGTTTGGAATCACACGTTGAAAGGTAAGACCTCGTTAGTCCTTAGCTCTCACAAGTTCTGACTTCTGAGGGTTGCGTTCGTAGGGGTGCGATAGCTGAACAGATCTCTACTCTGTTTAAAGAAGTTCTAATATTCTCCGGCGATTTCTTCATGAAGGTTCTCCAGTATGTGTTCCCAAATGTACTTTCCCAGCATTTCTGGAGATTGGTCTGGCCCCCAATGTAGAAACGTTGAAATCGTATTTGACGGACTCACTCTGCCTCTGGATTGTGCAGTTTGTGCACGCCCTGATTCTAACAGAAGAGATACTATTTTATTTACATCACTTTTATTACTCGCATGGAAATAAACTTTATATAGAGGTTAAACATCTGTCGCTATTTGACTATTTTACGTTTGTATATTTGTTTTGTATATATTAAAACGTTTTTAACGCACCATTAAAGTTTTGTTGGAATCCAATTGAGTAGCGACTTGGAACTAATTAGGAAGTACTTGAAATTGCCAAGAAATGACAGATGATTTTAGCGTGAATAACACCGTGAAAATGAGTACAACTTATTAATTCTCTGTCGTAATGTGTTTGTTATTTGATAATAATTTTGAATAGTATGAAAAATTACTATGAAAATTATCATTTCTCCAAAATAATAAATCTCTACAAGTTTTTTGATTATTCATGAATACCTTCAGCAGAAATGTATAATGAGATATCTTTACTAAAATACTTCAACAACAATTATGACTGACGTATAGATAATTTACAATAGAAGAGTGTTGACAGTATGCAATTTAATCATTCAACAATGATCAATCACTTGAAAGCTCTACACAATATTATGGAAATAATCTGGTTCTTCACTACTGTCAACTAGTCTATTTGGTACAGTTTATGTTTTAATGAACATGTACCTATTTATCGCTAACAATTATAATATATTTTCCATAATTAAACGTAGTTACTAATTATAAGTATCCGAAATAATCGTATAACCAATCATTCATTAACACTGAAATAAGATCAATAGGTATTTGTCACTAATTAGGATTCCAATTATTTCATTTACATACACTTTATCGAGTAACAATGAAATAATGCACACGACACCATTCAGTTGTTTTTGGGTTCAGAAATTTGAAATTAGGAACGAAGGCCATTTCATTACTTCGGACTTCCATTATTCAATATTACATAAAATGAATTGAAATCCATGAACAAATCGATAAAAGTTAAAAATAAAAAAAAAGTTGTTATATCAAGCAAAAAACGCGGACTGCGATTCCAAGAATGGAATTTACCAGATACCCTGTGAGTGCGGAAAATCCTAAATCGGTGAAACTAAGAGGCCATTGAAAGTTTGCATTGCCGAGTACCAGAAACACACACAGCGAGGAAAACCAGCAAATCAGGAATAGCAGAGCATTTTTGGACCCATAAACATAACATCGAGTGGTCCCAAGCTGAGATCATACACAGAGAGGAACACTGCTTCAGAAGGAAATTCAAAGAAGCTGCATACATGTTGTCCAACAATGTATTCAGCCAAACTAGCGTAGAGATACACAAAACATATGGAAACCCATAATCAAGCGAAAAATGGCCAACTTCCCCCAAACGATCATCTTCCGCATTGAGCATTAACATTGCGGGTGCAACCTGTTAAATGATCGAATCGATTTAGTTTACTTACCGGTTTTCAAATTAGCATATCTGCGTTGTCACTAGTAAACAAAATTTAGTTACTCAATCAAGCCAAGTACCTCTATTATCACTAATACAGTGGTGCTATATAAGGGCTAATGTAATCAACCATTTTTCGTTTAATGTATAAGTTTGAAAATGTCCTTATAGAAGGAAACTGCAGTAACGTTAGTTACAAATAAAAGTGGTGAAAAATATGAAAAGTTTCAATTCTCTTTTCTTTAATACTATTTCATTTTAAAATACGACGACAAATGATAGATACAATATAAGGTATGGTTATTTTTTGGGGTAAGTTGTTACATGTACCAAATTACCCCAACTTACTACCTGCCCCCTGGCACGATAATATTGATAGTAGAAGAAAACAATATTGCAAATCAAAGGAAGATATCTTCAAGATTGAAAATTTTGAGAAAATAAAAAATATAAGACATCAGAAATGAAAAATTTCGTATAGGATTTTTTTATTTACTTGTTTGAAATCAAGGCACAAGCACACAACCCAGCAACTTGGTGCTTGGTCACTAATAACTTATCGTTTTTATGTGATGCACGATGTGCATCACAATGACAATCATGTCCACCGAAGAGTTTAAAATTCCGGTAAAAAAGACGTATAACTTCTTACCCCTGTAACAACGTGCCCCTCGCTCCCCTATTATCGCAAAGTAACATGTATCTTTTTGCCTAAACTCAAAAAACATTACAAAGACGAGAGAAACAATGGGTTTATTTCACATCCTGAATCGCTTCATTTTTAGAATCAGGGGTTTACACAGTTGTAACAAAAAAGTGGTTTTCTATTAATTGCCCAGAAGATATTCCACCGATTACGGTCAATCTTGAAATGTTTCATAGCAGTTTTAATTATGGAGCTCCTTTGAAGTTGGATACCACTATTAGATTAAAAAACTGAAATTAGAAATTTTTCGTTGTGCGAGTTTTCATTGTATCGTGATTAGTTTTCGAGAAAAAAAAGTCATTATGACAATTTGTTGAAAATTAAAAGTGAAACTATCCTCCGAAATTTAAAGTTATCATATAAGTTACATCTTGTATAATATAATTTTGGTGATTTCTCAAAAACGATTTGACAGGTCTGTTTCCTTTTTTAGTGAAGGGTTATGATTTCTTTTTTAAATATTCCTTTTCATAATCTCTCTCAAACTTTTTTCATTCTAATCATAAAACTACGTCAGTCTATGGTGGCATAGTTATATACGGCGCCATCTATTCGTGAGTCGATGAACCTCAGCCTAGTTTGAATAAAAGTAATCTTCTTTTAGAGATCCCACTGAAACGCTGAATATGATTTTCAACCACAGCTCTTATTTACTACATCATTGGTATTAAGTATATATTTTTTAGGTTTTTTGAATTTTGACTATTTCACTGGATAACTATTATATTTTTCACACATAAAAACTGTTATGGCTTTTTAACTTCTCCTTATACGATGTTATTCTCACTGAATCATCTTTCATTCCAACAAACTCCCCAGAAATTAAATGTTTGGGCTAGTATTCTGAGAGACCATATTTTAGGTCCATATTTTATTGATGGCAACCTCATCGGACAATCGTATCTTGAACTTCTTGATATACCTGTGAACCCCAGAATCACACAGTTACTTGAAGATGATGATAGTCTACTTAAAGACCATATTTTTTGCACCTGTACGTCAATTTTCAGATGACAATGTCACAGGGAGATGGATTGGAAGGCGAGGACCAATAGAGTGGCAGGCTAGATCTCCTGATTTATCACCATTCGTCTTCTTTTCATGAGGTCAGTTGAAATCCAACGTTTATATTACATAGCCAAATTATCTTGATGATCTACGCAGAAGAATTGTTGTGTAGTGTCGTGCAGTGACTCCAGAAATGTTGAGAAATGTGCAAAGACATTTTGAAGATCGCTTATACTTATGTGTGGAACTGAATGGTTCACAGTTTGAACCTTTCATATGATGATAATGTTTAAGGTAATGAAAAATAAAAATATCTTGACGAAACTTAGCTTTAGCTATGTTACAAAATATGTCAATGAATTTCTTATTTTTTTCTAGCTGTTTGAACGGTCGGTTTTTACCTTTTCGGAAAAAAGAAGGGTTAAAATCACAGCCAGTTAGAGCATGGAAAGCAGGTAGCGCTAAACATAAATATTTTCCTAATTCTTTAAATAAATTGTTGACATCAACAAATCGCTGCTTTTTTGCTACTCCGACGTGCATGTGGATTTTAACCTCTTCTTTTACGTGAACCATATTGCTTAGCATTTTAACTAACACATCTGTATCTGAACATCTTATGGTCACATTCGCCTTTTCCGTAAGTTGAGAGATATGAAAAACTATTTTTGTATCTGCCTCTTCATGCAGAATACAAGATAACTCATCAACTTCAGTCATCCATAGTTTCGTCCATACTTTCATTACGATAGCATTTATCATAAACACTGTTAAATCATTTGATGACCAATCTGTATTGCGCGTGCTCTCACTTTTTAGTTTCAGGTCGATGTAAGAACTGGTTTGGTCCACGTTCAAGCCGTAAAAAATTTTTTTCTTCTTATTTATAGTCTAAACTTGAGTCTCATACAAATTTCAGAGTGAATAAGATTTGTCACCACCCTCGTGAAATATTACATGATTGACTACCTGTAAGAACAATTTTGTCCCGCTTGCCAGGNGGACTCCAATAGGTTAAAGACGGCCCTGGCAGCACTGGAAATTTCTCCCGAGTAATCGAATGTTCACTATTGAAAAATGCATTGTTCATAATGAGCAGAATATACCAAATTTGTATTTTTGGTGTAACTTGATGACATAACCGCAATAGATCTCAAATACTCAAACTGAATATCGATCACGAATTGTTTCGTAAGGCGCTTACATCGATAATACTGATACATCGCTACTTGCATATCAATCATTCAAATCCCCTTGGTGTTGACATCAAATTTGTTAATCCACCCCACTGCTACCATGAGTGAATATTGACCTTTGAGTCAAATGACTATATAATGTGAACGGAACAATTCTGGAGTATCAGTTGATCAAGTACATCAAACAAAATGTTCAAATTGGTAAGTGATTATATATATACACCTTCATTGGGGTGTAAGAAAATTGAAAAAAAAAATGTTCAATGTTTAATTTTCATCTTAGGTATTATTAGTGTCTAACAATATATTATGAAAAAAAATTCGTTCGTGCTGCATATGTATTATTCTTCCATCTATCCAATGTTCAGATCAAAAGTGACATCTTGAAAATATATAATTTTCAATTTAAACCAGATTTCTATGGCTGGGATTGAATCAAATGAGCGAATGATTGTCATTACTCACTTTCATCGATGATATGAGAAAATCCAACTCATTCGTGTCATAAAAGGTCGTAATTGTATGAATGAATTGAGGGCTTCATCTTGTTATGTTATGCAGATTGGTGCTGAATAGGCAATAAGACAAGTATGTTATTCCGAAACATCAATGTCCGCCATTAACGATGACAGTGTTTCATGTAAGTGGATTGTTACCTCTTTCACAATATATTGTGTAGGAATCCTGTGAATGATATCTAATTCAATTCCATGATGAATGTTTGGAGTACAAACTGAGTGAAAAAAGTGTTTTTTTTGTGTAAGTCATGTAAAAGTAATTGTTTCAAAAGTATTTTTTCTTTCGTGTAATTCAATGTTTATATGAAAGTACTTGTTTGTTCCACATTTCTTTCCCAACCTTTCTTTCCTAAAAAATTGTTCTATTCTGAAAATATATCCCTAATAATTTAATTGTTTGGTATTCTCCATAAAACATTATTCGGTAAGTAATGAATGAAAAAATTTGGAGTCGAAGATATACATACGCCTTTACTGACTTCAAGTTCAAAATGCACAATGAAATAAGTCGTAATTCATGAATGAATTGTGTGTATTTTCTATAATGTTTTCCAATTTGGTACTGAAGAGCCTTGGGGCAAGTGTCTTAAAGCGAAACATCGATGTATACCAGTGAGGATGACAGTGTTCCATGTAAGTGCAATTTGTTACCATTCACTCATGTGAATACAATATTTTCAAGATGCATTTGTTAAGAAAAAAATTAAGAAAACAGGTTTGTTTTTAATTCAAAGGGAACATCTTTCTTTCATAACTTCAACTATTATACCTTCTTCCCCACCCCCTGGTCAAGCAACCTTATTAATCTAGAAACATCAAAGGAAGATTGAGGATTTTTGAAAGTTGGTACTTGTGAAATGGACTCTTTTCGTTTTGAATAATAAAAATGATCTATAAGAGAAGTTTCTGTTTCTGTAATGTAGGTAAATACAAAAGGATAGATTTGTGGTTTGCAGACATATGAGAGAAGGACTAAAAAAATGTGACCCGACCGGAATTCTAAACTGGCTTTTCTGTTTTCTGGATAGGCGAATTTACCAACTAAGCTCCAATTCAGTATTTTGGTGTTACTTCGAACGGGATGAAATTTGTTAACTGTAATGGACTTTTCTGTATCTGCAGAGTAGGGAGGACGAGGATGACCCACAGCACTTAGGCCACATGTGACCCATTTTACATCCTTCCGAGGAGTTGTCCTCCTAGGTCACCGTCCATCCTGTCCTTTCCAGGATGGTGGACAGGTCACTAGGAGACATCTTCTTTATATTGTCAGGTGTAGGCCAAAACTCGCCAAATACACACTCTCTTTGGCAATCTTGAGGTGTCTCACTATGGCCTCCGCGAATTTTTTGGAAGGTGCAGCGACATTACTGTCATTGCGTGGCTTCTCCAACCTTCTTGGGGTTCCTTCCGTGGAGGTGTTCAAGTGAGGGACCTTTCCTGCAGGGGCAGCCGGTTCCTTGCCCTTCATTTAAAGCAGAGCTCTTGGCGCCCGCCGCAGAAAGGGCCCTTGATGTTGGAGGTGGAGTGGAGGAGAAGTAGGGTGCACTCATAGTTGCTGCCACTTCTGCCTCTTTCGCTCTCTTTCTCCTTTTGGCCTCGGCGCCGCGAATGCGCTTACGCCTTAGCCTTTGTATTATATCACGAGGTGATCTGCCATGTCCAGCCTCATTTCAAGCGCTACATTGGGGTGGACATTTCTATTCATCCCCGGCCACCGCTTCAGATTGAGATGAGTACTTCTGTCTAGCCTCAGGATTGGTTTTTGTTTTTATCGTTTCTGTTTTTATGTTTGTTTCATTCATGTGTGTTCCCACGAGTAGCGAAGGAAGAGTTGGTCACCTCTGGTAGAGCCCCGCATTACCAGAGGTAGGCTGATTACAATGAGGTTTCGCCCAGTTTCCCAAGGGTAGGCTGGTTCACGGTGGCATGTTTTGCAAAGGCTTTTGGGGAGTTTCAGTTCCATCCACCCTACTTATTTCTGCCACCGACCAGGAATCCGTCGACCCCGTCCGTAAGGCCACATTGGCTTCCCGGACAGGACCTCCAATCCCCTGGCCGTTTCCCTATCCGCCACCTAGGGACGCGCCCGATAGGTAGCTCAACCCACAAGCTGTAATGGACATAACAACTGACCGAAGATCAATTTTTTATTCCATTTTCGGTTGGGCCAGATCATTCCAACTATTCTAGTATAAAATTCCTAAATCATTTCCAAAAACGAAGTAATACATTTTTCTAAAAAAGTGTAACGGGTTTGATCCTGCATCTCTCGTGAATAGAAATAATACACATTTTTCATATTTTTCTTTTTCAGTGTGTTTTTGCCGCCATCCTTGCTTTCGCCGTTGCAGCCCCAGCACCTGAAGCTAAGGCTGATCCAAAACCAGCGGCTGACCCCAGTTTGTTAGCTGCTGCCTATACTGCCCCACTCGTAGCTGCTCCTGTTGCTTATACTTCTGCCTATACTGCACCTTTGGCCTACTCTAGTTACATCGCTCCATCTGTGTATGCTGCTGGATACCCTGCTTTCTCGCCTTACACTGCACCTTACGTGGTTGTGTAAGATGCTTCGTTGTAATTTCTGATGATTTGTTTCAATAAATTTTTTTTCCCGTTTCACAAGTTTTTTAATTCACCCTTTTCGTTATTAGACTTCAAATACTACATTCGTCCCCAACACATTTACCAGCTAGATTGTTTTCTGTATCTGAACCACGAGTCCAACCACCATCAATCGACTGAAAGAGGAATCATCAAAACTCTATCAGACCTTGCTTTCGGACTTTGTAATACGAAGAAAGGTCTCGAGACCTTCCATCACTTTCACAATAGAGAAGGAAGCCCACAACGAATTGCCATTCTTAGACGTATTGGTGAAGAGGACCCAGACTAAGCGGAAAACATCTGTATACCGAAAACCTACTCACACGGGACAGTATCTGAACCACGAATCCAACCACCATCATTCGAGTGAAAGAGGAATCATCAAAACTCTATTAGACCGTGCTTTCGGACTTTGTAATACGAAGGAAGGTCTCTAGAAGGAACTAGACATCATCAAAAATGATCTTCAATGAAATGGCTACTCCAAAGGCAAAGATGGTGGAACAAACTTTGGCTAAAAGACAGCAGGAGACCCGAAAGAAAGAGAAGCCGTCACAATCAGAGCTTCCCTACATCAGAGGATTATCGGCAAAGATACGAAGACTGGGATCCAAGTACAATATCAGAACCTGCTTCAGATCCGGAAACACTATCCGTAGCATCCTCACGAAAACCAGGCCACCAAACGAGAACTTCGATTTCGAAAATTGCATTTACCGGATACCCTGTGAGTGCAACGGACGGAAAATAATTTTACCTATTCTCAAAAAATTGTATAGAGCTAGTCTGGCGTGGAACTATATACCACCCAGTTGGTTGGCAGCAAGGGTGGGATATATACCTAAAGTGGGCCGGAGAGACCCACACCCCAAATCGGTACGACCAATCAGCCTTACATCCTTCCTGCTGAAAGGACTTGAGAGGATACTGGAGGGTAGCATTATATGCTTCCCCACTGAATCACCACCAGTATTCTTATCAAACCGGCAAATCGACAGATTCAGCATTAAATAACCTCGTTGAGAAAACCTCCCAATCCCTTGACAACAAGGAGATTGCGGTTGCTGTTTTTCTTGATATTAAAGGAGCATTTGACAATGCACAACCTAAATCTATAGGATTCCCTCTGGCTAAAAAAGGTATAGAATCGACCATAACTGGCTGGATCTATGGCATGCTAGTAAACACAACTGCAACTACGACTCTTCAAGGCGAAGCTATCAGGTTCAGGGTCACCAGGGGCTGCCCTCAAGATGGGTACTATCTCCCCTTTTGTGATCGCTCCTGGTGGATAGTCTTCTTGATGCCCTCGACGGAAAAAAGGTTGATCTGCAAGCTTATGTAGATGGCCTTGTCATCCTGGCAAGGTCCATGTCGGGAAGGGTAGCTTGTAATATCCTCCAAAGCGCATTGGACATTGTTCACAGTTGGTGCCTGAGGGAGCAGATGTCTGTCAACCTTAGCAAAAGTGTGTTAATCCCCTTCACCAAGAGAAGAAAATTGGACGATCTAACGCCACTTTCCCTCAATGGTGTGGTCATTCCATTTGGAACGGAGGTGAAATATCTTGGCATTATACTTGATAAAAAACTCACCTGGAACGCTCACTTGGAAAAAGTTTTACACAAAGCCAGACTGTCTCTATGGACATGTCGAAGGATTTGTGGTAAAACTTAGGGTGAAGGTCTCAAACAAATCCATTGGATTTATGTGATGATTGTCAGACCAATGATCACGTATGGTGCAATTGCTTGGTGGCCGAAGGCTTCACAGAAAACGGCCCAAGCGAAGCTCTCTGGCTTACAGAGACAGGCTTGTCTGGCTATCAATGGTGCCATCAGTACCACACCGTCAGCGGCCATGGAGATCCTTTCAGATCTACCTCCTCTTCCCATTTTTCTGGAAAGAGATGCTAGATGGACTGCATACAGACTTGTGCACATTGCCAATTGCACAAATCAATTCAACAACAACAACAATGTCAACCAACAGACTGTTGGTTGACATTGGAAATGATCTCTGGAAATGATATCTGACTTTATGCCTCCAACTGTCAACTACGAACTGCCTTATAAAGTATTATTCCCAAGTAGAGAGGAGTGGATCCTGCGGGAGAAGGAAATATTAAGAGCAGATACTTGTTGGTTCACAGATGGATCAAAAACACCTTCCGGTTCTGTGTTTTCAGTCGCAGACCCAGGACAGAGTTACCTACCTGCCTAGGAACTTATGCGACTGTATTTCAAGCGGAAATTCACGCTATTGAATTGTGTGCGGAGAGATTGGATAAATCCAACCTCACTCATAAGTCAATAAAAATATTATCGGACAGTCAAGCGGCGTTGGAAGCTCTTGGCTCCCACCGAGCAACGTCTAAATTGGTAGCAAACTGCCGAAAAGACTCTCCTCGATAGGAAGACTAAACATATTGTCTCTGGTCTGGATTCCTGGCCATACTGGCCTTGAAGACAATGAAGCTGTTGACTCTCTTGCAAAGGAGGGTGCTGCAAGCGGCTTCATTGGACCAGAACCTGTCATTTGCATCGCTTTGGGCTTTGTCAAACAAATACTTAATACCTGGATGACAACAAGAGTTATGGACTTCTGGCAAAATCTTCCAGGATTGGCTCACTCCAAGTCGTTTATCCACCTTTCGAAGCTTGATTCCAAACAGTTGTTGGACTACAGTAGGGATGAACTACGATGTCTAACAGGCCTTCTTACAGGTCACTGTCATTTGAATCATCGCATGCAGAGACTTGGACTGTCGGAAGACAGTGTGTGTCGCCTCTGTCTGGAAAATGATGAAACTGCGTAGCCTATACTTTGTGTCTGCCCCGCTGGGGACCGAATCAGGTTCTTTGAGTTCGGCTGATCCTTACTCTCACCATCTGACCTGAAAGACCACTCACCATACAAACTAATCGGCTTCGTTAAGAAGCTGGGTTTATTTGGCCGAGTGTGAATAGGTGTGAGTCACAATAAACCCTTATGGGTAGCTAACCTAACCTAACCTAACCTAACCTACCTACCTACCCTATGAGTGCGGAAAATTCTATAGCGATGAAACTTAGAGGACATTGAATGGTCCCATTGCCGAGCACAAGGAACACAAACAGCGAGGGGAAACCAGAAAATCAGGAATAGCAGAGCATGTTTGGACCCATCAACATAACATCCAATGGTCCCAAGCTGGGCTCATACACAAAGAGGAACTTTGGTTTAGGAGGAAATTCAAAGAAGCCGCAAACATGTTATCCAACAATGCCAAGGTAGCGTAGAGATACACAACATATGGAAACCCATAATCAAGCGAAAAATGGCTAACTCCCGCCAAACGGTCATCTCCCACTGAACCAGTGAAGCGAAAAAAGGGAAGCAGATATAAGTGAAAGTACTCAAATGACCTATAAATAGTCAGCTCACGGAGGTATCGGTCCAGTCATTACCTGAAGACGGTTGTGAATACTAACAATCAAAACGTCGTGAATTATCTTGGCTTGGAATCTCTTAACTTTTTAATTTCATTTTATATCTTGTTTATGGATATATGGCATTATAGCCATATATCCATTCCCATTTATAACTATTGCAAAGATAATGGAATTGACAATTTGTCAATATCGCCACATACCTCCCAACGCTTCAACCTCTCGATACTTCGTTTTTCGGCCCATTCAAATGCGCTTTCAATAAGGAGTGCGATATTATTTTGAAAACTGGCAAGAAAGAGAAAATAACTTTCCCAGATTTGGCAGAAATATTTGAAAATGTCCACGTTAAAATTGAACAATGGAAAAAGCTATATCAGGTTTCAACTCATCTGGAATCCACCCGTTTTGATTTTGAAGCTGTCAGTCCATATTTGCCTACTGTATCTGATGATTTGGACTCCATAAATTCCAACGTTTCAATTATACCCCAATCCTGTCCTAAACGAAATTCAAAAGTGATAAATGCTTTAGCAAAAGACGAAGTCAGCATTGCAAATCTTTCACCATATCCGTCATATTCTGGAGAAGGAAAAACTAGAAAATGCACCAAGGAAAAGTCAGAAATATTAGCAGCTACACCAATGAAATTAATTCACATTATTAGAATATTTTAAATTGAAAGTGATTGATTTTTCAAGAGGGTTAGTTTTTGGCATAGAAGTTACTGGAAGAAAACTGGAAGAAAAAGACCAGAAGAAACAACTACTTCAATTTAATTTGAAAGGGTTACATTTTTAGGAGTGACTAATTTTTGGGAGAGAGTTTTGGCTTTCTACCACTCCATCTTGATACAAAAAAATGTGGAAAAGTTACTTCTTTGCATGATCTACACATTTATGTATTCAGTTGCTTATTTCAAAATTGATTACTTCCTTCCTTTCTTCGGAAGATTTACACATTTTTTTGTATCAAAATGTAGTAGTAGAAAGCCAAAAACTTCTAAATATATTAAAATCACTATTTTATTTTCAGATATCATTCATAGATATCCTTCATAGAAACGCTATATAATATAATATATGGAATAGTTACGATATAAAATTTCACCACATGAAACACTTTCATCCGCAATGGCGTACTTCGAAGTTTCGGAATGAAACGCCTATCTTAGTTGCTCATGAGCACCTAATTTCAGTTAGAAATATTTAATTCGATCAGTTGATATACAGTCAGTATACAGAAATTCAAATATATTATGAGAGCCTTCATAATTTAATATGGCATACAGTTTTCAAAAAGTACATAAAATTCAAGACTAACTGGCCTCAACCGTCCGTCTTGATGAAAACAAGACTCACTTCTTTCTCATATGCTAATTTTTCAATCCCTGATAATTACCTTAAAATTGTTTTACAATTTTCAACAACAATAAAAGTCCAACAACCTTCAACATTCTAGGTCCAGCCTACATTACTTATCTGGCGTTAAACGCTCTCTAAAATAAAATCTGTAAAAAATTGAACAATACCTAAAACTACAACACATCACAGATCACAACATAAATACATACCTGTACCCGCT